CTCCACCTCCCTCCCCTCCCCCCGGTTTCCGAAACAAAATGCTTCGTTGGAAGTAGTGGGGAAGGGGGGCGAGGCAGGGAGCCGTGGCGCCCAACCCCTCTCTCCCCCCTCGTCCCGATAAACATTGTCACCCCCCGGGGCTTTTGTGACCCGCTTTTGCAGGCGGCATCTCCAGTCTGAAAGAAGCAGATGCTTCTTGGGGAAATGTGCGCTTTTCTTCGCGTCTCCTTCGCGTCTCCTGATCCCCAGATCGAAGTTCTTATTTCTTTGAAAAACCTTGCGATGAACCAGGTAGAACACTTTCAGCTTTCTCTCTTCTAAACACGAAGGGTTGAAAGTAGGTAAATCAAGGCTTGCTCAGTTATTTTCTTCGTGATTTCTTTTTTTCCCATACAGGCATCTTCCTAAACAATTCAAAAAGTTTTAATTTGCAGTGTTTGTCTCAGATTAGGATCTGGGGAAAGTTTTTATTTGGTTAGAAAACAGTTGATTGCGGATATGTTGAGAGGTCACTAAGCTTTGGTGTTGCCATCAGAAACCGAAGAATACTTTTCTGTTATTTTTTTTTTAAGTTGCTGTCTTGGGATGTGTGTGTGTGAGAGAGAGAATAAAAGAGGAACTTGAGTTTTTAGTTGGCAGCTAAACTACCGTGGAGAAGTGGAATAAACAAATGTTAGCTAATGCTGAGGTGGAAGGGAATGAGAAGAAATTACAGTATTTTATATGTAGGTTACCGGTAGTGGAACATGGGGAGTGCAAGAGAACTAAAGCAAGATTGGGATACGAGAGAGAAAAATAAGTCAGAGTACAAAGAGAGTCATCCTAGCTGTGATGATTTTAAGTAATTAAACATTTTCCCCACCTATTCTGCAGTCCTTCAATGGAATCCATGGAAGCTTCAGGACCTTCAGGGGTGGGGATCAGAATTTTTTTATTCCTGTAAAATTAGGGTGGTTATTCCTGTAAAATTAGGGTGGTTGGTGACATAATTTTATGTAGCATAAGACATAGCTCAATTTAGACAAGGTGCTCAATTATAATTAGGAAAATTTAACTATGATTTTGCACTGGGTCTGAATTACAGTAGTTTGTGAACATCTGACAAACCACAATTTGAAATCATTACATGGTTTGTCTTCTGTGTTTTGTGCAAACTGTGATTGATGTATATGAATGGATGTTATTCACCTTCTAATGGATGCTGAACCATATAAATGGGAATAAATGGAAGAAGTTATGAATATGAATGTGTGGAAAACAAAAATGGAACAATAGCTTTAAACTGTGTTTCTACAGTATGGACAGCTCAAGCAGTTTGTCTGGAAACCTGAATTGAACAATTACCTATCCTTTCAATTACTGTTGAATCATTGAAGCTTTACCATGTTAAATAAAAGATTGGTTTTTTTGCACTGTTTTTACTGTTGAATCATTGAAGCTTTACTACTTATAATCTATACTGACTTCCTCAGACAAATTTCAAACACTCCAGTGGAGTTCAGAACATGTACAAAAGCATCTAAAGTAGGTGGACTTTCTCCCATTTAAAGAGTAGCTGAGGACATAAGTAGATATTTTCTTCTCTCTGTACATGTGTTATAGTTACATTCCTGATGATGTATTTCATGCTGATATACTTGGACATACAGAAAAACAGTAACTGTCAAGTATGTGTGCTTGTTTATTAGTAGGAAAAACAGTATATTGCAGCTGTTAATTACATCAGTAGCAGGCAGAAGAGATTGATTGTAGTCACTGCTCATGAGTACTATGGAAGGATAAATGCTTTCCCCAAGGCACTGTTACATATATGTCAACATCATCTGTGGCTGCTTTGACATAGTAGGACATTCGTCTTCAGCAGATTTTACTGTCTTCTTCATGAGCTGTCAAGGAAAAGTAGATTTAAACTGGTAGCTTCAGGTAAATGATACACAAAGCTCTTCAGCAGGCATTAATATATGCCTCCATTTATTCTTTGGTTTTTTTCCACTGTCTTTTGCTCAGCCTGGTCCAGATGAACTCTTTTTGCATATGTGGTAATCTAGATGGTAGCCATGTTAGTCTGTTCCTGCTTAAGAGAAACCAGAAATCTTGTAGCACCAATTTTAAAATACTGTATTGTTTAGCTTTCATGTGTCCAGGCACACTTTTTCAGATGAATGGAGCAGTTATGGCTTTTTGCATATGTGTATGTGGAGAATATTTCTCTAGTTTCGGCACTAAACCAAGACTTGGCAATAGAAAAGGAAAGAGTAAAAAAGTCACCTAACCAAGGGTATACAATTAGAATTCTTCCTATCTGCTCTTAAAAATCAGCTGGGAGTGATGAAATGGATGCCATGTGAGCAGATGAGGTCTTGCAGGAGATATTGAACACACCCACATCTTGATTGAATAGGCAAGATCACTTCCTTGGAGAGCTCCATTTCCGGTTAGAACCTAGAGCATAACTCCTAAATGATAAAAATTGGAGAATAGGTAGTAGGGCTTAAAAAATTATCTGAACAATGCATTTTTTGCTAATACTTTTCTGTTTTTCCAGTTTCTTCTTTTGAGTATGGTGTCTAATGTAAGGGGCTACAAAAGTCATATAGTCTACACTGTTTGTGCCTGAAATTCAGTACTAGAGATCTGGGAAAAGTGGCCATCCAGCCTCTGCTTTAGAATCCTGTAATGAAAGAGAGCTGGGAAGGAAAGGTTGTCAATCCATCTAATGAACAGCTGGTATCAAGAGCTTCTTCCTGTTCACTTTGTTTCTGTTTTGTGCAGCAGCAGAAAACAAATTCAATCAGTATTTGTAGCAACTTTTAAAATATTTGAAGACGATTATAATTTTACCTTCTATTTTTTATTTATTTTTACCCCGCCTATCTGTTGAAAATGATCACTCCAGGCGGCTTCCAGACATATAAACACAATAAAATGTACATATAACAAAAAACCAATATACTATGCACAATAACAATAAGCAGCCAACAGTAAGCAGTAGACATATTTTTCAAGATGGCAATATAACAAAAAATAAATTAAAGAAGAAAAGGTTAAATGTTATCTGCAGGGAAAGCCTGCTTGAACATCCAAGTTTTGAGATGGGTCTTAAAAATACCCAGCAACGGGGCCTCACGAATCTCTGGAGGAAGGTTGTTCCAGAGGTGAGGAGCCACCGCAGAGAAGGCCCGATTTCTTGTTTTTTCCTTACGGGCCTCCCTCGGCGTCAGGCTCCTCAGCCTCACCTCCTGACTCAATCGAGTGATACGGGTAGTTCTTGGTGGGAGTAGGCGTTCCACCAAGTATCGAGACCCTAAACCATTTAGGGCTTTGTACGTAAGCATCAACACTTTGAAGTCAATGCAGAACCGAATGGGCCACTAATGCAGTGCTGCCAGAGTGGGTGAGATGTGTTGGTATTTTTTCACTCCACTAAGTAGTCTGGCCGCTGCATTCTGCACCACCTGGAGTTTCCGCAACAGCCTCAAAGGCAGCCCCACGTAGAGCGCATTACAGTGGTCTAATCTTGAGATTACGAGCGCATGCACCAAGGTAGTGAGCACCCCAACATCGAGATAGGACTGCAGCTGGGCTATCCGCCGAAGGTGAAAAAAGGCGGTACGGACCACCGACGCCACCTGGGTTTCCATAGTGAGCGCCGAGTCCAGATGGATCCCCAAGATGTGGACCCTGTCCTTGGCAGCAAGAGTAACCCCCCCAAAAGAGAGGGAGTTTCCCAGGCCCCCAACTGTGGGGGCGCCCACCCTCAGTACCTCCGTCTTGTCCGGGTTCAGCCTCAGCCTATTTTCCTGCATCCATTGCAGTACAGTCCCCAGGCAGCGCTAAAGGGACAGAATGGCATCTCCTGTGGTTGGTGAAAAGGAGATGTAGAGCTGAGTGTCATCAGCGTACTGGTGATACGATGCTCCACGCCCCCTGATGACCCCACCCAGCGGCCTCATATAGATGTTAAACAGCATTGGGGAGATAATCGATCCCTGTGGAACCCCACAATTGAGACTCCATGGGGCCGAAACACCCTCCCCAAGCTGTACTCTCTGGGGGCGGTCCTCCAAGAAGGAACAGAGGCAGGTCAGTGCCAGGCCACCAATTCCCAGCTCAGAGAGCCTCCCCAGGAGTATACCGTGGTCAATGGTATCAAAGGCCGCTGAGATGTTGAGGAGGACCAGCAGAGACACTTTGCCCCTGGCAGCCTCCCTCAACAGGTCATCACACAGGGCAACCAATGCCGTTTCTCTACCATGGCATGGCCTGAAGCCCAACTGAAATGGATTCAGGGCATCTGTTTCATCTGAGTGCGCCTGGAGCTGGTCGGCCACTATCCTCTCGACCACTTTGCTTAAGAAAGAAACATTGGCGACGGGCTTATAATTGCCAATTTCATCCGCCGCCAAACTGGGTTTCTTCCTAATGGGCCTAATGAGTGTCTCCTTGAGGGCAGATCGAAACCTGCCCTCAAGGGAATAATCTATTCTCTTGATTAATAAATTCTATTCAGTGCCCTACTCCCTACTTTATCATTTTTGTGTGATCAGACCAGACAGGCTAGTCTTTGCTCCCAACGAGCATCAATGAGCCTTGGGCACCCACAGCCCTGATGCTGGTTCACCATTTGTCCTTTCTTGCACCACATGTGATAGGTAGTAGCCACTGCACACTGGGAACACCCCATGAGACCTCATATTGTAGCTCGCATTGTTGAAAAACATAATGTAGGCCATGATAGAACCGTATCAGAACACATAGTGCATCACAATTTGCTGTGCATGTGGCTGCATAGCCACAGAGAATTCAGAGTGCCCATGATGATCCTGTCCCCCACCAAAAGCACCTACAGTGGGGCATGAGCATCAGAACTCGACCATGTAGCAATGGAAGAAGGTTAATCTGATGAATCATGGTTTCTTTTAGGTTGGGTGGATGGCTGGATGCATGTGCATAATTTATTGGGGAAGAGGTGGCAGTAGGATGCACTATGGGGAGAAGGCAGGTTGACAGAGGTGGTGTTATGCATTTGGGCAATCTTATTTTGGGAAACCTTGGGTCTTGGCATTTCTGGGGATATTACTTTGACACGTACCACCTACCTAGAGATTGTTGCCATCCATGCACGTACCACCTACCTAGAGATTGTTGCCACCCATGTACATCCCTTCATGGCAATGGTGTTCCCTGATAGCAGTGGCCTCTTTCATCAGGATAATGCAGCCTGCCACACTTGAGAGAAAATGTTCAGGAATGGTTTGAGGAAAATGACAAAGAGTTCAAGGTGTTTCCTT